AAAAAAAAAAAAGAAAGAAAGAAGCGGGCCAGCCGAGTGGCGTGATGGTTAAGAACTGGCTTAGACGCCAGAGGGCCCCGGTTCTGATCCCACATATGAGGGCCAGTGACAAGTGACACTGCCCTCCACAGATAAGATGGTAAACAACAGTTCAACCTGGAGCTGGGCTGCTGTGAGTTGCCGGCGACAGCGTAGGCTTGCAGCCCCTGTGGCAGTGGGTTGCCATGGGCTACCGTGTGTAGCCAGCAGCCAGCGTGAGCCGCTGTCCAGAAGCCGGCGACTGATGTGCCTCTCCTGGGAAGAGCGCAATGATGGTGCCAACTTGGGCCAGTGAAGCAACGTCCTCCACAGCTAGACTGAGGAACAAAACGACAGCAACTTTTCTGTTCCCCTTCCCCCAATTCCCCAGCACTGTTCCCATCCCCCAATTCCCCAATAAAAATCTTTAAAAAAAAGCTATTGGAGGTAACAAGTGAATTTAGCTAGGTTGTAAGATATAAGGCCAATATACAAAAATATCAATTTTTTATGTAATAACTAAAATACTTAAATATATAAAGTTTAAGAATTTTTTTCTTGTGAAGACACTAGGAACAATTTGAAGACCGGCTACTGATCAGGAGAAGGTACTTGACACACAAGAAAAGTATTAGCATCCATAATATACATCCAATTCTTACCAATAATTAAGATGACAAGAAAAATAGAATAGAAAAATGGACAAACTATTTGAACAAACATTTTATATGAGGAAATACCAATGCTGATGCAACACATAAAAAAAGGTCAATTTTGTTAGAATCAAGAAAATACAAATTAAGATCACAATGGAATAATATTTTATACTTCAACGTAAGCAAGCATTGAGAATTTGACAACCTCACTTAGAGGATTTAGAGAATTGGAATCTCTTATATGCTGTTGGTGAAAGAATAAAAAGGTACAACCACTTTGAAAAACAATCTGTTAATATCATGTAAAAATAAATATCCATGTACTCTCTACCCAGTGATTAGACTTCTAGATATACCTTGAGAAACTACTGCACATGTGTACTAAGAATTATGTACCTGAATATTTATAGCAGCAAACATTATTCATAATTACCAAAACCCAAAAGTAACTCAAATGTCCATCTACAATAAAATGGATAAATACATTCTGAAATACTTATGCAATGGATATTATTCACTAGTAAAAAGTTTGAACTGTAATATTCAATAACCCAAATTTAACTTATTATAAACTTGGAATACAAGCAAATTGCAGAAGAAATACAGTGTGGTGCTTTTTTCTTACATAAAGCTAAAAAATAAAAGTTGATATATTGTTTAGTGGTACATGTATATATGGTAATATATTTAGTAATGCATCTATTTTGTATGTATCGAATATAGCACAATTAAAAATACAATTAAGAATAACAAATAAATCTTGTCTTATGGAAAGATTCAGCAGATTTGCTGTTTTGATTCCCATATCTTATCAATGAAACCATATTACATGAATAATTTTTGTCAAGCTAGTTTCTAAAAAACTTTGTTTATATCCATCCATGTGTGCTATTCTATTCAACATATAAGGTAGTATAGGTTATACTCGTATGATTCAACCACACTCCAGCCAAGTTGAGAAACTTTTACAGCATCAAAGTCATTTGCACAAAAATGTCATGATCAGACAAAAACAGCCTTTATTAGAGTACTTATTTTTAAGTATTTTGGTGGAAGCCATCCAAAATGATATAGATACAGCCTCAAAAACGTTTAAATTGAAAATATGCATTAATGCTACCAGTGGCGTTATAGGGAATGGAGGGAGAATTAAATGTTTACTATTAAATGTAACATTTATTTGCAATTGTATAAGAATAAATTATTAACCATAAATCATATAAGAAAATAAATTACCTAACACAAATGAGTGAAACCTAGTGACCACAGAAGTCTGAAAAATGTTTGCCTTGTGCTTATAATACATGACATAAATTACTTTTCTAATTCTTAAAGGTAGACAATAGACTATCTAGACACCATTTAGGAAAAGAAGGAGCAGAATCATTCCTGGTTGCAACACCAGTTATTTTATCATAAAATAGCTTATACCAAACTACAGAAAGTCCTCAGTAACTATAGGTTGAATGAATTATTGGATTATATCTGGGTTTTTTCTTCCTTACTTTTCTATTCCTATGATTTTTTTTCTATTGTGAACATGTATCTTGTTACATTTAATTTATATTCTTTCCTCTCATCTGTACCTGAGATTTTATTTTCCTTCTGGGGGGCAGAGATAATTTGCAAAACATAATATTAAAGGAAATGTTACATGACTGAAATCAAACCACTGCAAGTTTAAATCATTATGAGATATATGCCTCTAAATCAGAAGAATGTAAAAAATCTATTCTGCTTAA